TCGCGTGCACCGCAATGCCCGCGCACAAAAAGCAACCAAATGCACCGCAGCGCTTGTGTACACCACCGTGCCTGCGTGCACCACATTATCTGTGTGAGCTCGCCCTGCGTGCAATCCGATGCTTGCGTGCACCACAACGTTTCTGTACACAACCTGTTGCCGCAGCAGCAGCGGCAACAACCGAGTGCCCCACGAGGCCCCCATGTCTGCGTGCACCCCTCGGGGCCTCCGGGCCACGTCGGTCGTCGTCGTCTTCATCCTGCTCCTCCTCCTCCTCCTCCTCCTCCTCCTCCTCCTGCCCCCTCTTTCACTCCTGATTTTCCTCCTCCCTCCTCCTCCCTCCTCCTCCATCTGCTCCTCCTGCTCCTCCTCCTCCTCCTCCTCCACCTCCATCTCCTCCTCCTCCTCCTCCTCCTCCTCCTCCTCCTCTTCCTCCCCCTCCTCACCTCCTACACAGCTCCTCCTCCCTCCTCCTCTTCCTCCTCTTCCTCATCATCCTCCTCCGCCTCCTGCTGCTGCTGCTCCTCCTCCTCCTCCTCCACGTCCTCTATGGGAAACTGCACGCGTTCACACCTGTAGCCGGTTTCCCCGCCTCACCGTTACGAGGGGGGAGGTCGGGGGGGGGTAACACGCGTTACGTCTGGAAGGTATACAAGGACGATCTCATATCGGTGTTGTCTACGAAGAGCCTGCACATCCAGATCTGACATTCCCTGGGATACTTTGGCACTGGGGATCTCCTGGTTGAGTCTATTGGCGTAGGCGGCATCGGTCTCGTTCCAAATGCGGGCGAGCTGGAAGTATTGGCCAAGAAGCTAGATTTGTCTCCCACGCAGGCGGCAGCATGTCTCGCGGCCCCACTGTCCTGCACGGAGCGCTGCACAAAGTTTACGACCTGAACAAATCTGCCACAAGCTGAAGCCGCTGACCCCTGCCCGCAGACCGCGAGCAAAGGCCTATAGAGGAAGAAGGGAGGAAGGAGAGAGGGGAAGGACGAGAGAGGCGGCGGAGGAGGAGGAGGAGGGGACGGAGAGGAAAACGGGCAGGGAGAGGAGTGGAGGGGGGGATTGGGGAGGAGAAGAAGGCTACAACAACGATGCTGACAAGGTATACCCGCTGATGGTGAGTAGGGGTGGGGAATGTGGGTGAGAAGTAACCGAGCAGGAAGGGGGCAGAGCGAGAAGGAATCAAGAGGAGCGAAGAGGAGGAGGAGGAGGACGACGACGACGAAAAGGAGGAGAAGGAACGTGAGTAGAAGGAGGGGGATGTGGAGGACAAAGTGTGTGGGGAGGGGGACTGAAGGGCAAGACAGGAAGGATGACAGGGACCAGGAGGGGGAGGAGCGAGATCGGGCGGTAAAGAAGGAGGAGGACGAGGAGGAAGACAACGACGAGGGAGAAGGAGGAAAAGGAGGAGGAAGAGGACGACGACGACGACGACGACGACGACGACGGGGAGGAGCAGAATCAAGAAGAAAGAAATGCGAATGAGCAAACGCAGCAGGGACAGCATCAACAGCACCAGGACGAGGAGGACAAGGGAAGAGGAGGAGGAGGAGGAGGAGGAAAGAAGAATGCGCACCAGCATGAGAAGGAGGACGCGCAGAATCCGCAGCAGCAAGAGCAGCAGCAGGAGCAGCAGCAGCAAGAGGGAAGGAGTATAGTGATGACGAGGAGAAAGACAAGGAGGAGGGATAGAAACCGCGGCAGAAGCTGGGGCACAAGATGTAGCAAGAGGAGCAGGAGGAGCGGCAGCGGGACGAGAAGGATGAGGGAGCACGAGCAAGACCAGGCGGGGGAGGAGCGGCTACTGGGCAGGTTGGGCGAGGAGGGAGGGTGGCGAGGAGGAGCGGTAGAAAAGGGGGGATCGAGGAGGGAGGAGGGAGCAGGAAGAAGAGGAAGGAGGACGGAGGAAGCCGACCGCAGGCGAAAGACAAGAGGAGATTGGGGCAACCAACAAGTACCGATACCGCTACTCCGCGGAACTCTCCCAAGGTGCGGTCTGACCAGGATGTCGAGGCGAACCCCGCGGTGGCGACGAGGGCCCCCCAGGAGGCCCAGAAAGGGGAGAACGAGGGAAGCCAGCGGTATGGGTACCTTGTCCTCTTCCGAGAGATGGAGGAGGAGGAGGAGGAGAAGGAGGAGGAGGAGGAGGAGGAGGAGAAGGACGAGGAGGAAAAGGAGGAGGAGGAGGGGGGATGAGGAGGAGGAGGAGGAGGAGGAGGAGGAAGGAGGAGGAGGAGGAGGAGGAGGAGGAGGAGGAGGAGGAGGAGGAGGAGGAGGAGGAGGAGGGGGCCGGGAGATGGAGGAGGAGGAGGACGAGGAGGAGGAGGTGGAGGAGGAGGAGGAGGAGGAGGAGGAGGATCCGTAGCCTTTGGTTCAAGGCCATTGCCTGGGGGCTTCCCTTCCCCTGGGGTGGGGGCTCGAGCTGGTCACAGTGACCCGCGCCCCCTTCATTCACTGTACTTTCGTTTCTGCTGATGGCTCCTCAGCAATCTTGG